TGCCAATCTGCAGGTGAGGGCTACAGATCACTCACAATTACAACTGCTCTTCAGGTAGCAGAGATCAGTTCCTCTGGAGAAAACAGAGGACTCTGTCATTATACCCTGCTGAGGTCACCACAGCAAATTGACACTGTTTGCCCAAAGCCAGAGCACTGCCCCAGAGCCTCTTTCTAGATCCCGTTGTATTGCTTTCACAACGGGCTTTACTGCTAGTTAATCTATAAAACCCAGAGAAATATGAATAATCAAAAAAGAGGAAAATCTATATTCATTCATTCATTCATTCATTCATTCATTCAGCTTGCTATCCCACTCTAATCCCCGGAAGGGTCTCTGAGCGGCTACAGTTACTCGTTTAACCCTAACCTATGGCCACATTTTTTGGGGTGGGGACAATCCCTACCGGCACCCAGTGGAGGGGTTTTTCTTCTCCCGGTCGGCTGCGTCAGCTTCGGTCGTCACTCAGCTTCTGGCTCCTTGTCCTGGCGGTCCTTCGGTGGCAGAGTGGGCAGGCCCTTCTTCCACGCGGCGTGCTCTGGTCCTATCTCTACTACAAGATGTTTGTGTTCGGTTATTCTCTGCTTTTCTGAGCTGCTATTGATCATGTAATCTGAATCCTTTTATAAAAAAAACATCCTTGGGCTCTTTTCACTTTGTATTCCAGTGCAATGTGCTGAGCTTAGTGTGACGCTATGACCAATGGAACTAGTTTTGAAATATTAACTTCAAGATTCCATTTATTTTAATCCCGCCCTTCCTCCCAGATGGAGCTCAATTCATGAAACTGCTGACAACCTGATATGACCCTGTTTTAATCTGTCTGTCTGTCAATTATCCTATTGTATCCATCTATAGGTAGCCAGCTCTAGCCATACTAGTTTCAAAGGTCAGCTTTGGGAAGTGAAGCTACATCAGTGTGGCCTTTCTCATCAGACACTTTATGTTTAGCTTTTACATTGTTCCATCAAGATAACAGCTGTGGACTAAAATATCCTCCTGTGGCATGCATTTCAATTGCATTCAGTTGGGATGGCTTATTCCTTGTAGCTTGGCAACAGCTGGAAAACCTCTTTGATGCCAGGTTACAAAGCTGGATCTCTTTTTTATATTTATTAAACCATCTTGTGTGTTTATTTAACAAGTCATTAGTGTGCCAAAGGGTGCTGAGCACAAGTTCACTCTTTTCTGTTGTTGAATCCAGGGAGTCATTGGACTCAGCCCATTATTATTAACTATTATTTTCTTTCTTAATTGTTAAAGGAGATGCAAATATCCAGATTGGCAGCATCTCTGAAGAGTTAGCCAAGAAAACTGAAGACGCTGCTCGACAACAGGAAGAAATCACCCATCTTCTCTCTCAGATAGTGGATTTGCAGAAGAAGGCAAAAGCTGTAAGATTCAGATAATAGCTGGGAAGTAGTAGCTGTAACACAATGTGTGCTGCAGGGTTTCTGCTTTGATAATACTAAATATTTGTAAAGGGGAAAAATGTGGAATTCTGCATTTATTCTAGCTTTGTTGATGTTTTGGCTTTTCTCAGTGTACGGTGGAAAATGAAGAACTTGTCCAACATTTGGGAGCAGCTAAAGATGCACAAAGGCAGCTTACAGCTGAAGTGAGTATAGAAATTTAATGGTTATATACATGCGGAGCCGGGCAATCGCTTTTAGCCCAGCTAAACATTAATGTTTAAAGGGCTTTTGTGTAGTTTTGTCCAACCTTACTCCAGATCATGATTGTATTTCACATGTTTATTGATTAAAATAATTAGTATGTAAAATGTATGCCCAAAAATGTTTTGTCTGGTGTATGCAAGAAGGCATTTGAAAATCTTAATAACTTATTCAGAAAGAATCTGTATTGAGCATATCAAATACAGAGAGAGAAAGGGAGGAAAATAGGCAAATCAAAAAGCAAAGCAGTGAACTCGACCAAGGGAATAGCCTATACTAGAAATAACTTGATAAATGCAAAATCAAGAAACATTTTGGGAATAAGCAATCAATTGGCAAATTCCTAGCAGAAGTGATTCCTTTTAAACCTGGATGTGTCCTCCTATGGCCAGTCCCAGGGGTAGAACCCTCCCATATGTTGTTATGAACATATGGAGTTCCCAGAGAGAGAAAGAAGGGGGGAAGGAAGCAGAGGGTAGGGGAGGAGAAATGGGGTAAGGGAGCTGTATTCTCTCTGAGCAGAACTCGGGAAGGGAACAGGAGCAGGAACATTGGAGAGAAGGAGGAGCAGATTAAAGAAGTAAAGAAGAAAGTTGCAAGCATTGCCTGATCCTGCAGTGTGAATCTCCAGAGTTCTAGAGTAGCAAAAGTGGTGGTGGAGAAATCCTTATGATGGGACTGCAGCTAATTTTGCTAGCTCGTTTGCTGGCTCATTTACATATATTTCAGCAGGGGTTTGCTGTTGGAGCCGAATGTCATTGGCTACTGTTTACATCAACTTCATTATTGGGTCAAGTTGTTTAGGCTTTTCTTGCCATTGGAGAATCCTGGATCCATTTTGCCTTTTGGATCCAACCTGTAACTGGATGAGTTATTAGGATCCTCGTTGCTGTTGAGAGATTAGAAAGCTAATAGGAAAAGTCTGAATTGCCTGTGCGGCTGGCACAACTAATGCCAGATATCAGTAGGCCAGGAAATGAGTTAATGTTCCTCACCATGCAGTGATTAGTTTTCTGGAGAATTCTGTATTGTAAGGGAGATTCTTGAGTGGTCTTAGAGGTTTGATTATCATCCTGCAAACTGTGGTTATTAATCAAGCCTGGGGTATTGATGAGTCACAGAAAGGAGTCCTGATTAGGGTGGGTCAGAGTTCTCGTGGACTCCAGGTTACTTCTTCATGCCTTATCCTCTTACTCACACATCGCCTGATCATAATACTCTGGTTTAATACCAAACATGAATCTTGTCCTGCAACTCAGATATCGCAAGGTTTAAGAAGTCAGGGCAGTGCTGGGGGTCTCAAAAGGGGATCCTGGGGGAATATCACCTATTAAACTTTTCTGTATGTGAATGAAACAAGAACTGGAATTCCCAAGGTAAACGATACTTGCCCCCCCAAAAGAAACAGCAGTAAGTAAAAAAACAAGGTAACATACAGTTCAGTCCTGTGCAGAATTCTTTCATTTTCTGTTTTACTCATAAAAATAAATTCTAATTCTTATTGCTGACTAAGCAGGTTGCATATGTGTGGATAAAAACTCCTGAAACCTCAGAAGCAAATGCAAGCCCAGGCAGGACTCTCATTGGTGAAGGGCTAACCCTTCCTGCGTGCCCGATAGCACTTTATATCGTTCTCCACAGTTAGGAAAAGAGGAATAATTTCTGTACGATATGGCAGATATATGCCATTTGTGTACCTTTATGCAGCTCCCTGAACCCCATGGGAACCTTGGCCTCATTCTTCATCATCTGTTACAACTATCTAGAAAGCAGATTTCAGGCTGAACTTAATTGGACATGTAGATTGTAGTGTTCATAAATGCACAGGCCTCATTCGGATCGGAGAAGTGCTTTTCCTTCTATTAATGTTTTTGGCTCACAGCCCATGGGACACAGGAAATCACTTCCCTTCTCTGCCTCACAGTTACGAGAGCTGGAAGACAAGTATGCCGAGTGCATGGAAATGCTTCACGAGGCACAGGAAGAGCTGAAGAACCTTCGGAACAAGACTATGCCAAATGCCGTCTCCCGTCGTTACCACTCATTAGGCCTTTTCCCCATGGTAAGAAGCATTACAAGAAATCCTTTCTAGAAAACACAGCCCGTGCTAAGTCCAATGCAACTTTGGTTAGCTTAAGGAAATAGATTATTTCGGTAAACAAATTCCAGAAGAATCGGGATCGCCAATTTGAATCTGTTAAATGGAGGGAAAGCCTGAGTCCATGCATGCTAATAAACCCATTTTAAGTCTTATAGAGATAGGGTTATCGTATGTTAAATATCATCACCTTGGGGGGGGGTATCGTGTGTTAAATATCATCACCTTTGGGGGGGATTTTCCAAGTGCCCTAGAAGATGGCTATGCTTCAGCCTTGGGGGGGGGGGCAGGGGATCGCCCCCTCAACAAAGAAATCATGACCATTATATGTGCTGAATACTTAAGATTAGAGTGGGTGTTACAGTGGTTTCAGTCTTTTTGCTTATCTGGACAGACTGAAAGTAGTCATGGGTGACCCTGAATTAGCAGTGTTCTTCAGGGGTCTCTTCTTTTGCCAAAGCATCTGATGCACTTCAGTCCCGCATTTGATAAAATGACCTCTCACTTCCAAAAGGGGGCTCATGGGTGACCCTGAATTAGCAGTGTTCTGCAGGGGTCTCTTCTTTTGCCAAAGCATCCGATGCACTTGAGTCGCACATTTGATAAAATGACCTCCCAAAAGGGGGAAAGAGCTTATTGTGCCCCATAAAATATTTTAGTATTTAAATTGCCAAAGACCTATGTTTTATTTTAACAGCAGCTGTACATACCCACTCATAGCTGCTGTAGGAAGTACAAGCTGAGAGAGATTTGTGTTCTGTATTGTTTGTGTCTGATATATTGAATCCCAAAACAAAATCTCTTGGATTTGACTTTTTGATGTTTTTTAAATTAACATCAACACCGAAGAGACAGAAAAGAAATAAAAGCATACCGATAAGTACATTGTCAAAAGATTTACCCATTATGCACTGGACTTTTGGGTGTTTAATGGACATACAAACTTCTTTGTGAGTGTCAAAGTAGCATTCATTTTCTGAAAGTAGTAGTTCAGGTGGAAAGCAATATTCCCCCCAACTATACCTATAAATCCTTCTTTAGGAAGTGTAAAGGTGAATACAGATGACTCTAATTCCTGGGTGCCATGTACACAATTGAGATTTTTGTGTAATCTAAGAAAGACTGTAATCTTTAGCAGCCTGCATGGTATAGCAAATTTTGGCATGGCTTATTTATATAAATGACTTCTTAGGCCACCACCTCTCTCCTTCTTTTTTTTTCCCAAGAAAGATTGGGCGACTCGACTGTGCGACTGAACAACAACAAAAGAAGGACTGTAATCTTTAGCAGCAAATTTTTGCATGGCTTATTTATATAAACGACTTCTTAGGCCACTACCTCTCTCCTTCTTTTTCTTTTTCCAAGAAAGATTGGGTTCAGAGGAGGTTTTATAAAGTTATCTGTCAGCTGCATGACCTGCGGCCAGTGGAAAGCTGCTAATTGAAGAATATGGGGAGGTGTTAGCCTTGGTTGTGGGTGTGGACTTCTGGACACTGTTTGCTTCGTAGATTTTGTGGAGCACAAATAGAAAAATGGAGTTTTTTCCCCTTGATAATTTGGAAAGGTATCCACACAAATTATAAACTTATGTAAATGTAAATTAACCCATTTCATTTTTTTTTTTTTTTTTTTGCATTTTGTGTGTGTGGTGGTGCCTGCAAGTCATGGTGACCTCTGGTGACTCCTACTGGGGCACAGAGGACATTCAGAGAAGTGGCTTGATAGCCTGCCTCTGGCCTCCTGGCCCTGGTATTCTCTGGCGGTCTCCCATCCAAATACTTGCCAGGGTCAGCCCTGCTTAGCTTCTGAGATCTGACAAGATCGGGCTTGCCTGGGCTATCCAGGTCAGGGCGAACACATTTCATCTTAAAAACAGAATTGGCCATCAGTGGATCTATGGAGCTTTCCTTTCCACATCGTGGCAGGGAGGTTTACCTTAGGTAAATCACTTTAGCAGACTCTCATATCTTTGTAAAACAGAAATTTACCTTTACCTTTATTTACCTTTGTTTTAAGCAGGGTGATGGATTAGTTTATAAAGTATCAAAGCACATAGAAGTTCCTTTTTTAGATGAGCCATATCTGGCTACCATCATGATCCTCTCTACAGAAATAGATGTATGTGTTAATGGGATGCTGTTTAAAATTGTCTTAACAGGATTCTTTGGCAGCGGAAATTGAAGGATCAATGCGGAAGGAGCTGAATCTGGATGATCCCGACTCTCCCGACTTAACGTAGGACCAATGCATTGCAAAATATTGACACAACTGATATTTCAACCAGAAAAAAAATCACATCTAACAAAAAATGAATGCCCTACATGATAGAAACCAAAACATTATACAGTCTAGGGGTGTACAATTTTTTATAACCAGTATTTTTCGGTTCAGGTCTATTGGACCCAGAAAAATTTCAGGATTTCTGAAAAATCCCGGATCCCAATACCAGTACTGGTATTGGGATCCGGGATTTTTCAGAAATCCTGAATTTTTTCAGGTCCAATAGACCCGAGAAGAAAAATACTGGTTGAAAAAAGCCAGCCCCGGGGTCTGCTGTGCCTCTTCTTATGGCATGCAGATCCAGGCTAGGATGGCTTCTCTTGCAGTCTGGTTTAAACTAGGCTGCACTAGAAGCCAGCCCCAAGCCAAGCCGAGGGGAACAGTCTGCTCCCCCCCCCCCGGGAAGGAATTTGCTCAGGGGGGCTTTCTTTGAATTTTTTCAGGTCCAGTAGACCCGAGAAGATGGTTGAAAAAAGCCAGCCCCGGGGTCTGCTGTGCCTCTTCTTATGGCATGCAGATCCAGGCTAGGATGGCTTCTCTTGCAGTCTGGTTTAAACTAGGCTGCACTAGAAGCCAGCCCCAAGCCAAGCCGAGGGGAACAGTCTGCTCCCCCCCCCCCGGGCACAGCTGATCCTCGGGCTGTCTTCTGCAGTCCCTTTAAAGTTTAAAGGGACTGCAGAGCCCAGCAAACAGATGAGGGGTGGGAGCAATCTGCTACTGCCTCTCCGCTGTTTTCGGATCTACCTGGTAATTCCCAAATATATCTTGAGGTTTTGGGGGGAATTTTTTCCAGTTTTCCCAAGAAAACTCGGATACATTTGGGATGCCAAAATATACCTGAAAAATACCTTATCTGTATTTTTGGGGTATATTTTGGCTCTGGTAGAGCAAAATGCACACCCCTAATACAGCTCTGTTTAATGTGAACTTGTGTTCTAGTTTGTTCAAGACAAAAATATAGAGCTAAACTTGTTATTCAGGTTTATGAACAGTTCCTGAGCAAGAGGTGAAAGGCACTGAGAACATAGCTTGGAGATCTTCTTTTAGGTGTTCTTTTGCAAAGGAGAAATAAAAGAATGCCCTCTGCTTGGGAAAAATGATCTCTGGAGAATATGAACAAAGTGAATTAAAATGGCATCCATTTTCTCCAAGGGCCTTTTACGTAACCTCACATTACTTTAGTGAATCACTGGATAAAGTGAGAGAAAGAATACTGCTCAAGAGCTATATAGCTAGAAGTCAGCATGACTATATATTACCAAATGACTACTTTTTACCAGCATAGTTTTAAAAGCACATGATGCAACAACCTTGCTGAAGCTAAGCAGAACTGGGTCTAGTCTGGGTCTGAATTGGAGACCGCCTGGGAACCTTGTGTACACTGGTCGGAGCATCCTGGGGGAAGGAAGTATACGGCTGAAATAAGTAAAGCTGAATATAAATGAAGTAAATAAATAAGAGGACAGGGGACCCATGCATTTGCCACCATGCAGAAGCTGCTTGAAATAGCTCTGTGGCTTAGCATATGCCTTGGCACGTGACACAGGCTGGACAGCTATCTATATCTCCGCAAGTGGCCACAACAAGGTTGGCAGGAAGGAAATTACCCGATCCACATGGTGAGCCACCATATGGAAATAGCTCACTGTGTGGTAACAACAAGCGTGCAGGATAGTTTAAAGCGGCCTTAATGTGCCCGCAGTAGTTTAGCCCTAAGTAATGTGTAGATCTTTTTTTTTTCTTCTGACAGTGCAAACACCAGTGGGTCACACCTTCTGCCACTGTTGCATTTTTTGGTGCGGGTGCAATAAGAACTTTAATTATTCCTCTCTCTTGGTGAAGACATTGGGGTTTCATGCTCCGCTTGCTACAGGGAGAGAAGATAATGTACCAGGGAACCCTGGGTTTCATTTCAGTACTGGAATGTCCTTGACTGTACACGAGAGGATCCAGTATTCTAGTGATTTCATTTACAGTACAAGATCTCTTCAGGTTCAGTTTCTGCCCCAGCAGTGAGAGGAATGGCAGTAAGTACAGGATTGAGTCTGTGAGCTGCCCTCATTCACAGCTTGGAATACAGTCTCTGGCAGCCAATAACAAGTAACAGACTCAGAGAGCAGCTTATCCTGAAGAATGTGGAAAGTTACTATCTTACAGCCCTTCTCTTTCTGTATTGAACAGGAAATAATTTAGAAAGTTTTCCATTGCTAATCATAGAACTGCGTAGTCATAGGCTACGCTATGATGTCGTTCCTGAAGATACAAGCACCTGGGTTGCTTTTGATGATTACTGGCTTTTTCTTTGTCAGGCATCACAAGAGAGTCTTTGACACGGTGCGAAACATCAACCAGGTGGTGAAGCAGAGATCCCTAACTCCCTCTCCGATGAACATCCCAGGATCCAACCAGTCTTCAGCAATGAACTCTGTCATTTCTAGCTGTGTCAGCACCCCACGATCCAGCTTCTACGGAGGAGACATCTCCAATATTGTATTAGACAACAAGACAAATAGCATCATCCTAGAAACTGAATCCGACTCTGGGTCAGTACTGTGCGTTTAGGCTGCCTTGTATTTTTTAAATGAACCCCCCCCCCCCCAAACAAGAACAGTGTCACTAGAATTCTTCTCTTCCGTTCAGTAATTTGTGTCACAAATCTTCATAAAGTTGAAGCAGAGTGGGGCTTCTAGAATTGTTATATACCTGCATGCCCATGTTGTTGTATATTTCACTAATTTAAACATCAGAATAGTATTCAGGCAAATTGTTTCGGTATCGGCAATGACTGTCAGTTGTATCCAACCAGCTTTTTGACTGTTGAAAAGGGAAAGGGGCATCCTGCTTGACTACCCAAAAGATGTTAACGAAGGATCATGGGACCTGTACATAAAAAACCCATATGGAATGGGAGCTGTATTACGGGGGGAACTGAGTGAGATTAAGTGAAAAAGCTGTTTGCCCTATGTAACTGAAACCAGGCTGAAGCTTTGATTTTGACCTTGGTAGATCACATTATGTTGACCTCAGCTGACTATAGTGGGGGGGAAAGAAGGCAGTTTTTCCTGCCAACTACTGGTATGGACGAGTTTATAACATATTTACTGGTAAAACCAGCTCTATGTCCTGCAGACCTCTGTAGCATGATACATATTGATGGCTCCTAGGCTGTATGGACAGCACACAGTATTTAGTTAACATGGGCTGGTCTTTTTAAAAATGTGTCTAGGACTAATATGCTCTTCTAGTCCCCCAGTTTGTTTCATATATTTTTAATAGTTATGGACTACAGGTCAAACAGTTGTCCCACTGTGCAGAATTAGAATCTGTTTCTCTAGGATTTTAAGTATCAGCATTTGGCTCAGTTAATGTGAAACCTTACAAAGTGTGTGCTTGCTCTCATTTTTTAGAAATGAAGAAAAGAAAAAACCTGGCACTCCAGGAACACCTGGTTCTAGTGACCTGGAAACAGCTCTCCGAAGGTTGTCTCTTCGGAGAGAAAACTATCTGTCGGAGAGGAAGTTCTTCGAAGAAGAGCAGGAAAGAAAACTAAGAGAATTGGCAGAGAAGGGTCAACTCCATAGTGGCACCATTACTCCAACAGAGAGTATCATGTCATTGGGAACTCATTCGAGGTTTTCTGAATTCACTGGATATTCAGGAATGTCCATCAGCAGTCGCTCATACCTCCCAGAGAAGCTTCAGATTGTGAAGCCCTTAGAAGGTGATAATAAAGCACCTCGTCCTTTATCTGTTCTCCTTAGTGATGCTCTGTGGTCTCTTCTCCACCAACAGGAAGCCGGAAATCTCTGTAACACATATTCATTTTACTTCAGAGATAGCCATCCACGTTGCTTGTTTGAACTCTTTTAAAGCTAAGAGTTTGGAGGGTTTTTTTGAGCAAGCAACTTCCGGAGTAAAATTATGTGTGCTTTGTCTTAATCATATTTCAGTATAGTACTACTATAACTCAGTGAATTTCATTTGCTTTTCTCTTTCCATTCACATATTTGTGCATCTCTGCACGAGGGAGAAAGAGAGGGACTGGAAAGAGCTTTAGTCTGCAGCAATGGATTTTAAATACTTCTTTCCACTGTAGTGTTATTGCCAGGTGCTGAGGCAGCATTCCCAGATCACTTGTACCTGACTTGTTCTGTGGATTTCCAAATGATTGTCAAATGCATCGGGCTATTTTATAGCAATCTTAAGACCTACATGTCATTTGACAATCTTAAGACCTATGTTAAGGAATTTGTATGGCTCATATGCACTACAATCCTATGCACAGTCAAATTTTCATGTAACACATAAGTGGCACTTTAAAAAGTACACAGATGGGTGTTGCAGTACAGTCTTGGGACCTGTAACTTGTGTGGATCTTTCCATTGCTTGTTTTAATTTTTAAGTCCATAGATTAGTTTAAGATGGCAATATCTATCTGTTGTGACCAGTATAAGAGAAAAAAAGACCATAGTACTAATTCTTTTAATGAGAAGAGATTCTTTATTTTGTATAAAAGTTTCCTGCGTGTGCAGCCAGCTCAAAAGAATCAACAGTAAGATCATCTTCCCTTTTGTTTATTATTGTAGTGCTCCTCTGAAGTTCTTAAATCACTTTACAGAAAGAAAAGCCTAGCTTCATCTACTGGTCATTAGCCTTGTAATAGGTTTCTGTTATCCACTTATCTCTCTGCCTTCTTCTTCAATAAACTTTCTGTCTCCATAACCTTTCTCTCTGTCTGTTTGGATTTTTCACTTTGTTCCATTTTTTCTTACTCTATTGAACCTTTCCTGCCATTTCTGTAGTTCATTTTCAAAGTTTAAAAGTGTTTACCATGTGGTTTGTTATTGTTTTGGTGAGGAAGGGAGGTTTTTTGGTCCTTATCCTCTTAGAAAAATATTTCCTCGTGAAATTCGGGAGTGAAGTTGGAGTAATATTTTAGAATAACTTTTATTTTATTTTTTTATATACTAACTGTAATCCATTGTATTTTACATTTGAGTGTCATGTTTATTACTGTGGAATGTGTCTACTTGAAGGGATGTTTACAATAGAATATTCAAGAAAATCCAATGTTTTGTTAAACTGCTTCCCATGAAGACTATTGCCGGATGCAAAATTTGTTATGAATGAACTGATAATGGATCCTCTAGTTCCATGTAGGTAAAAATGAAGGAAGGATTCATTAAATAAAATAAATAAAATAAATAATTACAGGTTAGCCAATAGCATGGAGACCTTTTGCCCACTGGCTCTCAGGAACAAAGGGAAGGGGCTCAGTGGTGTGCATCAGGAAGGGGGAATGTCAGACATTGCCACTCCTTCTTAAGAAGCCTTGAATGTCCTTAAAGCTTCATAACTGCATGGTTGGATACAGGCCCCTTGTCATTAGAAAGAGTTCAATTCAAGAATTATTTGTTGGCAAATATTAAGTATGACAGTTTTAGGTATGTTAGTACATTTTTGCTACCCATGTTTAAACTTGCCACAGCCTTAGGTTGGGAAGCAGTATAGACTAGGGGAGTGCATTCAGCTATATCCAAGCCGAAAAAATATCTGAAAAATACCTTATCAGTATTTTCCGGCTATTCTTTCAGCCGGATATAGATTTGGGTATCCAAAATGGCAACCCCCCCAAAATTCTGAAAATATTCAAGATTTCTCGGTACCACTGGGTAGTCGAAGTTCAGGGCGCTTAAACGGATTGGAGTCTCTTTAAATGCCTTCTGGGTGAACTGCCTGCTTGGAGAAGGTGTTTAAAGGGACTGCAAGCAACACCTTTGGAGTTCACTCGTGGCTTGTAGAAGGCATTTAAAGGGACCACGATCCCTTTAAACACCTTTCCCCCCTTCATTGAAACCAATGAAGGATGGGGCACCTTCTTTGGGGGCCTTTAGAATTGGACCCCCAGTCCAATCTTTTTTAAACTTGGTGGGTTTTTTGAGGAGAGGCACCAGCAGCTATGCTGCAAATTTGGGGCCTCTACCTCAAAAAACAGTCCCCCCTCAAGCCCCAGATACCCCTGGATGAATTCCCCATTATACCCTATGGAGACCATTGACTAGAATTGTCCCCATAGGGTATAGTGAAGCTGAAAAAAAGGAGAGATTACTGAAAAGTCCCGAATCCCAATACCATATTGGGATTTGGAAATATCGGAAAATACTGATATTTTTCGGGTTTAGTGTACCCAAACCCCAAAAACACCGATTTTATTTTTTGCACACCCCTAATACAGACACATTGTTTCTATCTGTTAGATTTAGGTGGGTAGTTTCTGTCTGTGTGATTTCTGCTCAAGTTAATAGAGTCTGTGACTTGGATCCCATGTAGATTTTACAGGTGCAGGGAAAGGTGCAGGGAAAGGGCAATGTTTGCCAATCCCCCATCATGTGGGAGATCTCCAATTCCCCTAAACTATTCCCAGCAGCATTTGGGAGGGTGATTTGGGCTGCTATTGGGGGGGGGGAATTGGTGAAAATTGGCTTCCTTGCACCCAAGGAAATCAATGTGCGATCCAACCCAATGTATATTTCACTGTTGCAAAATTAATTTAAGCCAGGTTCTTGAATGAGAATGATAGAAGCACTGTGTTTTTATAGATTCCACACAGATAAATTTTCTTTGACCATGACCTTAATCACTTAACTCCATCTATATGCTATCTAAAATGTGTGTAATGGCAGAGGAAACTCATGAGAGCACTCAGTGACTTGTCCCAGTTTTGCTCTTGCAAGCAGTTTCCATAACTTGCATACCATTTTCAGCTATCCATAGCTTTGAGCCCATTTTTGGTGATACTTCTGTTGCTTTAATAGCAATGCTGATGAAATCAAGACTGCCATTAGAGTATTAGAAACTTACTGTAGGGAGAGTAATACTTGTTCTTGTGTCTATCAGAATTTAAGCTGTACATTTGGGTTGAAGTTCACAAATCTACTTTTATATTGAGATGGTCACTTGACAACAGAAGTGATGCTGTCATGTTGCTGTCCATGTTACTCTGAAACAAGCTAACACTCTCTGGGTGGCAGAGGTACAAAAACATCGGCTTAACTTCCAGGTCAGATATCCAGTCAGTTCACAGATCTCAGGGAAGCACATAAATGTTGTTTACCGTAGTTTGTTCTGTATTACAGTTTTTGTTCTCTGAGGCTTAGGTCACATGGGTATGTTTTGACTCTTCTACGGTTGCGACATGTCTTTCAAATGATATACAGAGTACATAGGATGCTAGGTCTCAATGGAGACTCTCCAGTTGTGTAAGCACACACGAACTGTATGGTTTTTCTTATATTTAGGTTTTTGTTATTGTTGTTTTTCAAATTAGGTTACATTTATGTCGTGTACAGGTCAGTTTCTTCCTTAGTTTGCGATAATGATTTTAGCTTCATGAAGTCACTCTGTCATATTTTTAAAAAAATTATATAACTGCATCAAAAACAGTGTTCATAATTTTCATTTTATAAATTATGGACGGAGTTAGATTTCAATCTAAATTCATCACTTCGTCCTCCATCCGAAATTTCAGTCTGATAAAATCAAACGTGTTTCAACTTTTTTTTTAACTCATTGTTTCCATGTTTTATGTATTTTTATAATTCATTTGTTCCTCATTCAAAATGTTTTCCTCCAAGGATGAATCTACAGGTACAGTACCATACACATTTATCCATAGCAAGTTACATTCACATATAAGTTTGCTTGGCCGTTAAGCACTACTGGCTAGTTCAACATGCAGAAGTTGAAAACTTTATTTTGTTTTCTTTTATATAGTGATAGAGCTGGTGTTGTTTTTGCTGTTCTTCTAATTACTGGGTCTTCCTTTAGCCTCCAGTAATAAATTCTAATCTCATGTACCCCCTTCCTGATTTCTTCCAGTCATTTTAGTTTTCAAAAACAAATCGTAAATGGTTGGTGTTCACATTTTTGATGACTTGCCAATATGGGTATTAGTGTAATCATTTTTTTAAAAAACTATTTAATCCTGTTTTTATTTATTTATTTATTATTTGTATTTATAGCTCACCCATCCCGCGGGCCATAAAGATACGAGCAGCTGCATAATTGACAGGGAATAATTTAAAGAACGTTGTTGTCATCTAGCCGATGGTCTGATACACAAGCAATCTTAAATTTGCCGAGATGTGTAGCACCTTAGTATCCACCATTGAAGCCTCTTACAGAATGATAAGTCGAAACGAATGGTAACACTTTAATGGCAGTTTAGGAGTAGGACAGTTGAGGAGTTAATCCCGCCTAATCTGAGAGAGAGGTCCTTCGCCAAACAATTCTGACTGACTTTGTTTTGTTACTTCCCAAGGTTCTGCCACTTTGCACCACTGGCAGCAGCTTGCTCAGCCTCATCTGGGGGGAATCCTAGACCCACGGCCCGGGGTTGTCACTAAGGGCTTCCGGACTCTGGACCTCGACGTAGACGAAGTATACTGCCTTAATGATTTTGAAGAAGATGAGACAGGTGACATTACATTCAAGGGCCTAACTACCTCAACGCCAGTTCAGCACACAGAGACCTCAGGTGAGAGGTCCCAAGCACAAGTGACTGTTTCAGACAGCGAGAGTTTTCCGAGTCGCTCTCAGGCTTTCCCAGAGGAGATGCAGGAACCTGCGACTGACGATGATGAGGGGCCTGGTGAGGGAACCTCATTAAGTCCAGTACAACCGCTGTGTTTACAGGATGTTGATTACTGGGCCATTCTCACATCTCTCCAGAGCAGCATCCACAATGCCGCTTCGTGTGTCGCTGCCGCACACTGGTGCATACAAGAATAAACACAATCACGTTTCACAAGGACTTCTAACAAACCACGGCTGTTGCTTTGCTTATTTATTTTATAAGTGCATGGTTTATCTTCTGTTTTATAGTTTGATTTGATACGAGAAGGCTGCTAAAAGGACGTGATGTAGTTAGGTGCCGGGAGAAGCAAGGGAAACTTAGTTGTGTGTGTATGTACATACTATGCATCTAAGTGTACCTATGGATAATGGAAGCTATAATTTTTCAGTGTCATCGATCTTAACAGGGTTTATGTTGTAACATTTGCATTCTGTCAATAGGGTGCAGCTGCTTTATCACAAGAGGCAGCAGATGGTTTTGTCACAATACCTAGTGATTAAATACAAGCGGTATTTGTGTAAAATGCCATCAAGTCACAGACAACTTATGGTGACCCCATAGGGTTTTCAAGGCAAATAATTAAGCAGTATTTAAGGTTTGCTTTTGCCTTCCTCTGCAAAGTGTTCCTGGGTGGTCTCTCATCTAAGTATTGACCCTGCTTAAATTCTGACGAGATCGGTCTATACTATACTATTCCACATACCAAACACAATCTAGAGCATGGATATCAAGAGACATTCTCTGAAATCGGTTGCTCCTAAAAGAATCATCTGTGCCAGGGTAGAATAAATGTCTCCGCAGCTTAGCTACGTTTTGTAGTGGGCTAGAATGAGTTAACCAAGGATGACAGGAGGAACATTCAAGTATTTTTAAGTATAAATGAAAGATCTACATGGAGGAGGTTAGACCTAAAGGTGTCCCTTGGCTCATAAAAGGATTCATGAAAGGGTATCTTTGGATCCAGAACGAAGTAAATAAAATGAATCTTTTTATCATGTAATTTTACCTATACATTCTTTTCACCTGTCTGTTGCTATGCTGGTTATTCCAACTATGGAAAATTTAATGCACTAGGTGCTTAAAAGTGCAGCCCTACACAGAGCTGCACCTTTAAAGTCCATTGATTTTCAGCAGACACAGAAGGGTGTACCTCTGTTTAGGATTGCAAAGTAAGTGTAAGTGCATCCTGGCTTTCACTACCAGTTCTCTGCCCTGTGGAACTTTCTAATTGACTGTTAATTTAGTGTTTTCTTTGTTATTGCACTGTATGAATTCCAGATGTGCACAGGATGTGATTTTTTGGCATCTTTGGAACCTCACTTTCATGTTGAATAAGGCAGTTAGGTGAGGGTGGACCGAGGAAGTATGGTAATTACCTGTTGCTACAGAAGAATCTGTGCATGTGAAAATGAAAAGATCTTGTTGGCACCTTAAGGGAGATCAGATCTACTGCAGAATTTGTGGGGCAGAGCCCACTTTATCATCAGATGCCGTTGCCTATGAAACTTTATGCTGCAAGGAGTCAGTCTATTAATCTTCAAGGTGCTTTGAGGTCTTTTTTGTTTCCACTTTTTTTTTTTAGTTTACTGCAACAGACTGGGATGTGTTCTGTGTGAGGACGGCCTGGTATGGTTTCCCCCCATTGTTGCTGTAGAGGCAGCACAGTGGCAGTGGGGCTTCTGTGTGGCGCATGTTTCCTCATGCGCGTTCCCTGCCTTAGACTCCCAGCAGCTGCCACTCCTTCCCTGTGCCACCACAGGCTTGTTCAGGTTTTTTTATATATATCAGTGACTGAATATTGTCACAGCATTATAACAAGCTGTGGGTTCTCTGAATTTGCAAATTTCATTTTTTTGGGGGGTGAGCCTCTAGTTCTTTTCATTGTGGAGATCATGCCAAAACAAAATTGGACTGGGTGTTGGAGATGAAGAGGGAATAGCAGCAAATTTATGTGCTGGATCCATAGTTGTAATCATAGTTGTAATTTTGAGAGGTTGTGGCAGTCTTGCTGTATTTTCAAGTCTAACCGATTAACTGTGTTTTAAAATTCAGTAGATAGAAACTTACATAACATTATTGTCAGGGATGCCTCATGCCCTCTTTGTTCTGTTCTCCCCACACTCCAGACTCTAGGATTTCTCCTCAGGCCTCAGAGCCTCTGTTGCGGGAGGGGAAGGGGTTTACATCACCTTCAGCCCTCCTCCTCCCCCCAGCCCTCAGTACTCCTGGTGAGTATACTCCCTTCTCAGTCATTCTCCTCGGCCATCCGTGGAGACCCCCTTCATTCCCTGGAAGTGCACCCCAGTGGGTCACCCCCCCCACCTGTCAATCCCGTGTCCCTCTAGTGGTGAATCCCTACCCGGGTCCCACCCCTCCCTGCTCAGCCCATCCTGGCTTTTCCCTGCAGCTGTCTCTGTGAGGGTGTGGCTTCAGAGCCACTCGTCTCGCCACTTCCCTGGGCTCTGGTTGGCTTCCCCCTCGTTTGGCCTCTTTCTCTTGCTTCCTGCCATCAGGTCCAGAGTTCCTGCTGCTGGCCCACTTCCTCCCAGGTCCCTGCAGTGCCCTAGCTCTCCATCATCAGGTCCAGACACAGTGGGTACTCTGGGGCCCTGGGGTTGGATTCTGTAGAGGCTGGGACCTCTCTTTCCAGTGTCACCTGGTCCTGGGAGTCCAGGTCTGTGTCATCAGCACCCGGGGTGGCACCATGAGTGTTGGGGTTTCTCCTCAGTCTAAAAGATTATAAGGATTATAAACACATCTTTTCCAAACAAAAATGTTCTATTTTAAATAAAGTAATAAGGATTGTTAAGGAATAACTGACATGTTTAAATACGTTTTTGTGAGGTGGGAGTTCAGCATTTTCTCCTCTGGCCACCTACAGGCATAAATCCCAAAGTAGTAAAACTCAGATTGGCAGTTGGTTCAAAACAGGAATAGTAGTAATATTTAGGCCTAAAACCACAAACTTTGCAAACCTCTTGAAGGACTGAAGAAGATAGCAGTGCTTTCAGAACTCTGAAATGTTTGCACAGAATATATATAGTGTTCAAGATATTGCCTTGCAGATATTGCCTTGTAATTTCATGTGAAATCTTGCACACACAGCAGAACCTGGTATTTGGAAGTCTCCACACTCCTTTCCAGCAAGGGCTGATCCAAAACCCTGTGGCAGAGAGAGAGAGGCTGCCATAACGGCTGGGATCCAGATGTGTTTTGGAGAGGGTGAACAACTGCAGCTGTTCAACAATGTCCCAGTATTGTGGTGGGCACTGAATTTCGTCATAGCATGCGATTGTGTCCTTGTAGATCATGGGATGGATGAGAACCCATCCCTGTATTCAGGAGTTCACACAATTTACCTTGGCTCAGAAGCCAAGCCTTGTGGTGTGTGTGTCTAGCTGAATAAGCAGCTGCTGTTTTGACTAACTTGACACAGGAATGAAATCCTTGGAAAGTCTTTCATGAATTTGTGGGGTTCTGATCATTTACAGGAAGTTTACTCTTTCCTATTGTGTTCAAAGGGCAGAGAATGCTACAGCCATGTGAAAAGCTACGCTGTTGACTACTGGAGGATGCTGTTTATCCAGGTTTCCTTAGTGATACCTTCGCAGGATTGGGCCTCTTAGCTCTCAAAGCTGATTTACCTTTGATTCTTAAGCTCTTCTTATTGGGCTCAATTACCACTTTTAGCAGCCTTTTCCTATCTTGCATATTCATTAACATCTATGAATGTGTTTGGTTGTGGGTTTTTCCTTTTCACTTTTGCTTAGTGCAGCTGGATCTCCTCTGATATAACTGTATGAGCAAATAAAATTGGAATAGATGATGGTTACAAAGGGGGAATAGCAACACTTCCTAATGAAGTCTAATAAGTGTGTAATCTAGAACACAAGAGTCTTGTGGCAGTAACCGATTTATTGTGGCATAAGAGTTCATAGATGGAGGCTTATGCATGATAAGTCTTTTAGGTGCCATATGGCGTCTCTTGTATTTGCTCTCAGACTAACAGCTACTCCTCTGGATTTAATCTAAAACTATCCTTGCTTTGGCCTTTTTTCCCCCTCATGTAGCACTGATTTGTGTCAACTTCCCTCAGATATTTTTTCTCCCAAATAACTTTTGCCCTCATTGGTTATTTGAGATTTTCTCCAGCATTTACCTTTTTTTACTTACTCCATGATAATGAAGAGAATCATGATTGCTAGGTCCTGCCCCTTCTGTGTTAATTAATTTACGTTGTGTGTGCTAATCCCTGAGGCATCAGAAGCATCAACGTTATCAGTTCTTGAGGTGATGTAAAGATTTTTTTAAAAATCCTTGTACTGACAACCACATTAGAATACACAGCAGTTTTGTGGTGGAGCTCTTGCAAAGACGGAGAACGTGAGCTCCATTTTAAGTCACTGTCATTTAATTGGTCACATTCACCTGTCAGCTTCTTTTTCCATTATGCACACAGTTGTACTGAGGGTCTGTGTGGCTGCACATGAGACTTTTTTTTTTAGTTATTACTTTTTTTCTTCTTGTCTCAAATCATAGAGGAAATGTAAGCACAGCAAGGGAAGACCTTTGTGCATTTCTCAGTCTCTTAAAGTTCAGAGTGGTTTGTGGGTGTGATGTAACTAGTTTGTCAAACCATTGCGTATGTCCTGTCTTACTAAAATATGACCTGCACTTTGGGAACATGTTGAATGTTGGGAGGGAGGAAAGCTTAGTAATGGGGAATTTCACCAGCATGTCTGTCTGTGCATGTTTTTTAACACCACTAACACAAAAGTTTCGTTTACTAAGCAAGAGAACCTATGCAATCATGATCGCTTTGCTATGGTACTTAACTTTGGATCGTATCTCAATGAATTTGTTTGGTGCATGCCCCATTTTGTTTTGAAATTAGCCATAAAGTATGTCCATCTGCATCAAGGGGTGAAAAAGGGTATGGGGAAGGTAATAGTGATTAAAATGTTGTTTTCATGCACTCATTTCTCTACTACCCTCATGGGGGTCTTTAGGTAAAAAAGAAAAAAATTCTTATCCGTGTCTGCTGACCTTAACATGTAACTTTCCATTTGAGCCCACTTTCCTTTTTCCCATGGTCACTTTGGTGTAATGGTTAAGTGTGTGGACTCTAATCTGAGAGAACCGGGTTTGATTCCCCACTCCTCCACTGGCATCTGCTGGATGACCTTGGGCAAGCCATAGTTCTGGCACAGCTGTTCTTGAAAAAGAGCAGTTTCTGTCAGAGTTCTCTCAGCCCCACCTACCTCACAGGCAGTGTTCCCTCTAAGCTGAGTTAGTGTGAGCTAGCTCACAGTTTTTTAGCCTCCGGCTCACACATTTTTGTCTTAGCTCCAGAACAAACTAATTGATGCAGTAGCCAAATCGCTTGCTCACAACTTTAATGCCAGTAGCTCACAAAGTAGAATTTTTGCTCACAGGACTCCACAGCTTAGAGGGAGCATTGCTCATAGGGTGTCTGTTGTGGGGAGGGGAACAGAAAGGTGTTTGTAATCTGCTCTGATACTCCTTTGGGTAATAAAGGGTGGGGTATAAATCCAATCTCTTCTTCTTCTCTTCTTCTTCTTTATAGACATCTTTCATTTCCTAGGCCCAGATTCTGTCCACAGCCTTTCCCCCCCTTCCTTTCACTCTACTTTTATAGAATGTGCAACTCTGCACCTACAGGTGTTCATCTGCACATGTACAAGCATACAAACTCATCTCCCCAGACTATACAGTGGGGATATACCCCTTTGGAAAATCATACTGACTTTCATTCCACAGTGGTTTTTCAGGTGGGAGGATCTAGTGCAGCTTCTAATACTTACAGGATTCACAAAACGTATTGGATATCAACAATATTTTTAATATCTTACAGTAATTTCCTCTACATCTGGTCATTGAACCTTTCATTCATATATAGGGTGGAACATGAGGAGTTTATTTTGAGCTAAAGTAATAGGAGGAGACATCTTAATGGAATGTTGAGTAATGTGACATACTTTATGGCCAATTTCAATATATATTCTACAGATGCACTGCATAGCAATTTCTAGTGAAAAATTAGATAAAATTCTGATCTGATCCAGAGAGTCATATGAATAAGAGCCTTATTGCAGTATCATATGACATTATTCCGCTGCCTTTTCCCCCATGTCTTTGGCATCACAAAAAATATTTATGAATTACTTTTCATAATTGCTATCTGGTGCAGCTGCAAATGTTCTGTCCACAGTAGTGGGGGCAGAGCAGAAGCCAAGGAAATACTGCAGATGGACAGTAGTGGATCCAAAATGGTTACTCTTGTCTTTGTTTGGATTCAAAAGTGGGTATGTTTTATTATTATTTCACAAACATACTCTAGTGCTAACCTCTTAAGCTTCTTGCATATATAGTTGGATCCATTACTGGAGAAGAAAATGTGATGGGAATACTCTTGCCTGGCTCAGTGTGGTGGAAGCTGAAATGTCATGTTCCAAAGGGTGCAGCAGTCTCCAGGTGCCGTGAGGTCTTTTTTTTTACAAAGAGATCTTTTAGAATTTTCGTCTTGCCACTTGTAAACAGTTAAAAAGAAATAGCTATTTAGTGGGAAGTAATCCTATGCAGATAGGAGCTGCGGTGGCTCAAGTGGTTAAGACGCTGAACTGCAGGCTGTGGAAGGTCAGTAGTTCAGCAGTTCGAGACCCGGGTGCCGCAAGACGGAGTGAGCTCCCGTCTCTAGTTCCAGCTCCTGCCATCCTAGCAGTTCAAAAGCAAGACATTGCAAGTAGATAAATAGGTACCACTTCGGTGGGGAGGTAACAGCGTTCCGTGCACCTTGGTGTTTAGTCATGCCGGCCACATGACCACGGAAAGTTCTTCGGACAGTGCTGGCTCTTCGGCTTTGAAACGGAGATGAGCACCACAACCCTAGAGTCGGATTCGACTGGCTTTCGAGCAAGGGAACCTTTACCTTTTAATCCTATGCAGGGTCCTTCCCATATGCTGTTCTGTTATCAGAGTGGCACGGGAAATGATCACAGGGGAGCCCCAGCCATGTTGCTCTTAAAATGTAAGAACGGACCCTTAAGAGGAAGTGGTTTGTAGGCATGCTGTTGGCAGGATTGCACAGCCTCATTTTCAAGACCTCTGCATCAATGTAAAAGCTTAATGATAACTCCAGTAGAATCAAGTAGGGCAAAAGTTGCCCAAAATATGTAGAAGGCAAAACAATTCAGAAACCCGCTACATTTCTCCTTCCTTGCACAGATTTCATGTAAAGTATTCCATCACTTTTTTTTTGCATCCGTTTGAGCACAAAGAACTTAGTTTTCTTTTCGTTTTAAATATAAATGCAAAGAATGTGCTTTTTTCCCCTCAAATGTAGTACATCATCCTGGGAAGTGCATGTCACAAACCAACTCCACCTTCACCTTCACCACCTGCCGCATTCTGCACCCTTCTGATGAGCTCACACGAGTCACTCCAAGGTAAGGGGTTCCAGCGAGCTGTCACGTCTCCCTGGAGTCTAGCCAAGTAGGGGAGAGCATTTCACAGTCACACGTCTCAGAATTCTCTATGCTCTAAGCTTCACCCTGGCCCAGCTCACTGTCATCCCTTCTTGTAGTGTTTACATCTCCCAGACCATCAAAGAAATCCGGAGTATGTTTCTGTGTCGCATAATCACTGTTAGGTACAGGTCTGATCGGGCTTGATCCGAATGATTAACTACCAATAATTTTAGAACGAGCTTCCGTGTAATTTCACTTCCCATTGAATCATGATGTAACATCTAGAATGAGAACAGAGAAAAGGAAAGTGCTCAAGGTGGAATGAAATGCCATCCCTCTTCTTCTTAGGTAGACCTAAAGCCTCCCACTCCTGTTTCAATGGATAACTATGGAACAGGGTTACACCAGTATTGCAAATAGTCACTAAGAAAAGACCTGCTCATGCTTGTCTGGGCAAGTGTAGCTGGAAATAGTTTTGGAGGGAAATGAAGCTGTTTTTGGGAAGTGCAACATGACAATGACTTTGGTCCTATCCCATTAAACTTTATAGAACAGGACCTCTGTTGTTCTCCTTTAGCCTTTCCTAAAGACAACTTCATTGTCCTCCACCAGTCATCTGGAGCGGAAAGAGACAGGCAGTCTGGAGGCAGGTACTGGGAGCAACAGCTTCCTCTTCCTCTTCCGCCACTGAAGCCCTAAAAAGCTGCTGATCTCCCACTGGCCCGTTGCTCCTCTGCCATTGCCCTTCTGCCTCTCCTGGCTCCACAAACAGCTTTGGCCAGAATGATCCTAGAAGCTGGAAGAAAGGTCTGCCAGGGTTGCCTGGCACTTCGCAGCAAGAATGTCTGGGAACTTTTAAAAGATCTGCCCAGTATTAGGCCACATTCATTTAGTGTGCTCGACTTTATTTATAGCAACTCGATGACTAAAATGATTTCAAAATGTGAATACCTTATTCCCCGCTGCCAGCAAACAGCTCGTGCAGCAGTTTTATACCTAAAGATGATGACTGAGCCTGGCCTAATTTGAACTGAAACCATTCCACTTCCATTTTTTCACCCACTTTGAGCACCGCACTGATGATTTAAAGGGACTGTATGTCTCAGAGCCACCAACAAGGTTAGTGAATTTTTTTAGGGAGGCTTAAATTACCTTTGGCTCCTGTGCTGGTCTGTTGTCCAAGAACAGATCTCACCCCAGAAAGCCAGGGGAAGCTCTCTGCATCTGTTTGCTTGAGTGACCTTGGCCCAATCACACACTCTTAGCCTAACCTGCCTCCCAGGGTGGCTGTGAAGGTAAAAGTTAGTACAACCGCTATGGGTCCCCATTGGGGGAAAGGGGAGAGTATTAATGCAATAAATAAATAAATAGTTCCCTGATTAAAAGAAATGTTAGACTTTCTTAAAAACTCTGAAGTTGTTTCTAGGAAAACATTTGGAAATGCTTTTGACTTTATATACCTAACAGTAAAATATGCCATAGTGTTACAGATGTCTCTTAAACGTTAAGTGTACAATTAAACACTCTTAGACTGTAAATTAAATGAGTTGACAATATTATGAAATGTATAATATCAGCATCCTCATGAGAATTCCCTTCATGAAGTAACATTCAGATCATGCAACACAGATTAGTTATTATTTAATATTGCAACCAGCGCTTCATTAATCAGGGTAACTCAGGTTTACAAAAGATATCAATTTCTTTGCTCTCAAATCAATTTTAAAAGGTAGGTTGCAGACGTAACTCTCAGTCCTAGATTAATCTCAAATGAAACATACAGACTAGTATTTTTTTCCCATTTTATCTTGACTATAATTGGAAGACAGGAGTGAAAAATCATCTTGTGTTTTAACAGCCCTGAGAGAAATTATAATTTGTTAATGTTTTGGCGTTATTCTCACATAAAATAAAGTGATTTGCAAAATGCCGCCTTAGCCCTAGTGAAGAAATTAACCATCAGGCAGACTGGAAGTATTCCTTTTCATGTTTTGAAAGGGAAGCCTATCCTAACAGGACTGGAGATTCAACGTAATATCCTTCATATATATTGCATTCAGTTTTCAACTTTTCTCACATTTTTTTCTCTCTGTCTTTGTGCTGGAAAATGAGCTTTTCTGCACCAGGTTTTTGCTCCAGCTTGGCTTCTTAACTGTATCATTTCCCGCTCTCCCATACACACAGTATTAGTTGCCAGTCATTGGTTTCAAGTTTTTTTCAGACAACTTTTGTGGTGGTCTGAAAAACACTGGAAAAACTTGGTGGGGGGAACAGGGAGTGCAAAACCTGCAAACGATAACTCTGTGTAAGGGAGGGGGGAAGCTGCTGCAGTAAGAAACCAAGGTGGACAGAAATCCCAGTGAATTAACATTGCTGCATAAAATATTGGAAAAACACCTTAGGGCAAACAGACATGTGTTGCAAGCACAGGCAGAATAAATCATGGTAACAATTCTTTTTCCAGTGTCACTGTTGAAGACTTAGCAAGAACTCCTTTCCACGTGATGTTAATATCTGTAAAATGCAGTAGTTGCCAAACAGACGATTAATGTACTTGAACTGAGTAACTTGAACTTAGCTCGAGCAAGTTGTCGTGATGTTTGCTGTGCCAACACTCCTTGTTGACACCAAAACAGCAACCAGTAATGTTATCGGTATGCAAGGGCTAGAGAAGAAGACCTCCCTAAACTATGAATGATGCTTCTTCACAGGTCATGTGAGGAAGACGATGAAACTGCTTTATGTCACCTTATGCTGAGAGGAGAAGTAGGGCACACAATATGACCAGCGTGACAGGGGGTGAGCAGCACTGCCAAGCAGTCTCTGTGCTGGCAGAGTCATATAGAAGGAATGCTAGTGTTTTGTGGCACCAGCTAACTCGAAGACTTTTTAATCAACCCTTCCCCCTTTCCATTCTAATATGACATTCTAACATGAAGGTGACCTTCTAATCCAAGCTCTAAATTAGTATATAGTGAAGTGCTGATTTTGTATAGTCTAACACTGATTGGTGGGCACAAGGCTCCTTGGGGTCCTCCTTTCTTTTTCTTTTAAGGACGGGCTTTGGCTATTCCCTCCTCGGTCCAACAAGGCCCTGCTTTTTAGCAGAGGATTCTATTGTCAGCCAAGAAAGCTTTTGGCATTCTTGCCAATAAGTGTGCTCAATTTACACAACTCTGTTAGTCAGCTTATCTAATTTTATCTTTAGGTATTTGCTGCAAAGTTGCTTTATATCTGATATTACAGCTCCTTCCTTCTTCCTGTTGGCAAACCATAGCTTGCTGTTGCATGCAAATTGGGCAAGCTATGGTCTGCACAAACCATAGCTTGCCTGGAAACCAGAACTGCAAATTACAGTTTGCATGTGATATGATGGCTTGCCAGCAGATGAAAATTTGGGATGAAATCTGGGAGCCTGAGGCTCATTCACACTGCACCAAACCATGGTTGGTCATCATGCCTAACTGATCCACAGTCTAGTGGTTCTGACCTAGTGTACATATCAGAAGTTCTAATGTACGTATCAAGAGTCTCAGATACTCAAAGGCATCTCAGTAGCAATCTTCAGGGATGATGATAGCTTTTGAGAGACCATTGGACACCTTGACCCTTTCTTCCTCCCTTCAACAAGAACTGAACTCTTCTGAATGTTGGAACTGCATAGAAGCTGCAGTGAAGTCAAAATGTTCCTTTTTGGTAGTTGTTTTTTCTGTCGGTGATTCTCTGTGTAGTCCAACATCCTATCTGCAGGACCAATGCCAGGACTGAATGGAAATGTCAGTCACTTCTGTTATGATCAAGTCCTTTACTTTTTATTTAGTAAAATATTTATACCCTGACTTTCCTTTGTGGCTCAAAGCAGCCTATGGCTCCAGAGTTTAAAAACATACAAAATACAATGAAATCCCCTTTCCCCCCCTTCCTACAAGCATAAACCCCATCAAAAGCTCTCACAAATAAAATGTATTCTCCGTACCTCCTAAAAACCCTCCCCTACCTCCTCAGGGAGCCCATTCCACAAAGTTTGGGCTCTAGTAGATGTCAGCTGTGCTGCTTTAAGCAGGGGAAGAACTCAACAGGTGGCATTACTTGACAGTGCATTCACTGAGGGAAGGGATGAAGCCCTGTTATTCTTGTAGAACTTTTTAGATTTTGCCCTATGGAGCTGCACAAAAGAGCACTAAGAACAGCAAGTTCTGTTTTTGGCTTGTTACATTGCAAGATTTGAGGGACAGTCAGGTGACTGAGTTCTCCTCATTCAAACATGCACGCTCTTATGTAGCTGCCCTGTTCACATGTTAACAGTGAACACATGTACATTCTGCATGTACGTGCGTCCATCCATCTGTCTATAAGAAAGAGCCAGTGTGCATTCACTTTACAAACAAAACTGGTCACCCATTTAATTTGAGATAACGGGGTGTAAAGGCTAGGACTTCAGATAATGATTACTGTAATCCAGCAGCTTCACGTAGTAAAAGTATTAGTGCAAATACAGCTACTTATAGACCTGTCTTCCCTGTAGACTAGTGAGTCCTGTGAATGCAGTGGTTGAAAAGTGTTGCTGAGTTCATGAAAATGGCTGCCAGCTAGGTCTGTGCTGAGCCTGGTTCCTTAGTTCAAAAGAACATTTCCCCACGTATTCATGGCCCTACTTTTACTGCACAGAAGTAACTTACCAATGTATCTGTTATCAGTAGAGTGCATTATTTTTTTAAAAAAAATCAGTGACTCTCAAATCTGTAACTCTTTAAAGTTAACAGGAACATTGTTCTCGACATTCATAACACTTAAGAATCTATAATGGTATATGTGATAGTCACGATACTAGAGAAGTTCAAAATTTATTATTTGCCAGCCAGGAATTACAGATTGCGCTTGATAACCACTGTCAACTGAATTTATTCATACTCGATACTCCTTTAAATATGAATTTACAAAAGAAGGACCAGCAGTTTGGGAAGAGAGAAGCAAGTGCCCTCTGTTACAGTAACCAATAGAACTGACCAAGCAGTTAGATAGGCCTGCATGTGTGTGTTTGTGTTTTTTTGTGTCGGAGTGCCCACTGCCTGTTCTGCATCACTAATGGAACTGATTTCTGATTGAAAATTTCTGACATGTTGCTTGGAGTTTGCTTGTAGGGCGTTTTGTGTAAGGATGAGAGCTTTGAGCCACAACCATAATACACAAGTCAGTTTTTATTACAGAGTTGACATCTTAGAATGTCGTCATTTCTCCAGTTAATTGCAAATCAGTAGAACAATTTTGTGCATGTGACAATGTAAGAGTTCATAAATTCCACTAATACTAACTTAGCCCTCTCTTGAGTGGTGGGTGTCAGAAGCTCAAAGCATTCATTTCTGACTATTCTTTTTCATATGAATTTGTTTAATTGTTATTATTTTAACTACATTCGGGGTGATGAAAGAAACTGGGTGATGAAAAGAAACTGACATGACAAAAATTGGAAACTTCTTAACAAATCTTGGTATCATATTGCAACCAGGAAATAAAAGTCACTTTCATAGTTGACTAAGTACATCAGTTTCTTCTTCCCCTAATCTCTCATGTTACCACTTATGTGAGCTAGAATATACATTTGATTTTTTAAATTGCCATGTTCTACCGTGGGTCCATCATTGATAGCTTTCAGAGACACACAAAAGAGGCCTAAAGGCATTTCTAGGGTTATGTGGCTATAGCCTGGTTGTAGAGAGGAGGTAGTTAGGAACTTCAGATGGAAACAGTAGGTAGTTTCTGTCACCATTCTTTTTCCTTCTTCATTAAATAACCAGGAGTCTGGAACAAGTGCTGCCTTTATTGTAGCCTGTGATAAAACCTGAAAAACATGCCTGTCGTGTTATGACACATTTATATCCTGTCAGTTGTCTTATAAACGCCTATTGCCAATTTGTTTGTGGCAAATGCGTATCTTTTATCAGTTTATTGGCCTAAATGAGTTTATGGGAACAGGATCCAATGTAAACGTGTACTGCATTCGAAGTGTGACTGAGAATGGCTTTTGGAGAATAATTAATCCAGCCATCCTAGACAGACAGGACCAGTAAAACTAACTATTCTAGGACCCTTTGTATATTTAATCTGTATGTATTTTAGGGGATAGCAAATATCTAGGCATTCACACACATCCTTAAGGGGCTTGAGCTCTGGGGTTTCAAATGGCGAACGCTAACTTGACATTCTGTCTTTTGTTACAGCCTTAACACAGCACCTACTCCAGCTTGTAGCAGCATTGGCAATTTGAAAGGCACTCCAGTGGCTACCCCGTGCACTCCACGGCGTCTGAGTTTGGTGGAATCCTCCACTAACCTTCGGGAGTCCACAACTACTATGAGCACATCCTTGGGGCTTGTTTGGCTTCTCAAGGAGCGTGGGATATCAGCAGCGGTGTACAATCCGCAGAGCTGGGACAGAGCTGGCAGGAACACCCTCCTGAGCACGTATTCTCCCAAAATGGCCGCCATTCCTTCCACTCCTCCCAATTCACCTATGCAGACACCTTCTTCTTCACCACCATCTTTTGAATTCAAGTGCACGAGCCCCCCTTATGACAACTTCCTGGCTTCCAAACCAGCCAGTTCCATCCTGAAGGAAGTGAGGGACAAAAAGAACATCAGGAACATCGAGAGTCAGACTGATGTGTCTGTCTCCAACCTTAACCTAGTAGACAAAGTAAAAAAGTTTGGGATTGCCAAAGTAGTTAGCTCGGGGCAAGCACAAGCTCCTACAGTAACTGATGATCGAGGACCTCTTCTGTGTGGGGCACAAAGACCAGTGAAGGCCTTTGTTCCTGGAGGCCTAGTACCAGAAGGTTTGCCTTTGGGTCCTGCTGTAACGAGTGCTATTGGGGGCATTCAGTTGAACAGTGGCATTAGGAGGAATCGCAGCTTTCCAACTATGGTGGGTTCCAGTATGCAGATGAAAGGGCCATCGACTTTAACTCCAGGCATCCTAATGGGAGCTAAACTTCCCAAACAAACTAGCTTACGATGAATGGCTAAATGTATGGCTGGTATTCTAAAGAGGTACCAAGAACCCTCCTTCAGACTCTTTTGGGTTGTTTTTTTTGAAGATTTTCCTTCCATTTGCTGTTGAGTTTGACAAATCAACTTTGTGCCTAATGGGAAAAAAATGTGTAAACTTTGTACAGAATGTAAATATTTACCAGATGTATTATAAATGAATCATGACACCATTTTGACAATTTAACTCGCTAACCTTTTGAAAAGGGTGTTTTGTTTTTTTTCTTTGCACTGAAAAAAAGCAATCCTTGGATAGAAAAAAATAATGGATTCTCTAGTTCCCCCAGCATGACATCAGAATGAGCCGCATCAAGAAAGAATTACCAGTCATGCTTTCACATTTGTCAAACGTCAGCATGCACTCAGTAACTTCCATAAATGCAGGAATTGTTGAAATTCATGATGTGTTCAACAAAGCTAGGAGCTTAATATGCCAACATTTTATTTTGCCTTTGTGGAGAAAAGAAAATTGGTAAACCTGTAAGTCTTATGCCTAGCCAGTGAAAGGATTTTTTCCCCTTATACAATAGACTTGAAATAATATGTTTCTGGGAATGACTGCTAAGCCTATAGGAGCCTAGGAAGAGAACAGCTGCTGCTGTTTTGAGCACATTCATGTTGTGTGTTAATTTTATGTTCAGTACTGCACTGGATCGTGGAAGTGAAAATGCTTTAACATAGTGTTTTGTTCCAGACACTGAGAACGTCCCCCTCCCAACGAAAGAGAAAGTCCTTAGAATTATTTCTTGCTTTCACAAGGTCAAAATAATAGCCTCAGCCTTGAGAGCCAAAGTTACTTAAAAAGTTGATTGTAACTATGGTCAGAATGAAATGTGAATGAATGTACTACAGTATTGGCAATGTGTCCTTAGAGAATAATTTGGGGGAAAATATTTAGTGAAAGTGGTACAAGTGAAGGAAAATGAAGTTTGAATTGCCTTTCACTTTCTGTCCAGATCTTGAAGTATAAAAATGCTTCAGTGGATAGGTTTTTTTAAAGGATTAGACTATTTCTACTTAAATACTGTTGTAGTTTGTCTTTCCTACGTATGTTTCCATCAGAACCAAACAATAATAGCTGCTAGATATTATTCGTGAATGGCTATATTTCACCTGTCCTAATACCTTTGAAAAATCCTTTTCCTTAGTTTTCTTCCCCCAGCTACAATGTGTAAAAACTTGAAGTACCATCAGACACCGAGAACAAATAAGATGATTCCCCATCTGCCCGGAAGTTCTTTTTAGACTAACCCATTCAAACAAACAAGAGCTGTGTTTGAGAGTTGTCATGCACAACACCCATTCCTTTCAGGGGGCTTGCCTAAGAGAACTTCTAGGTGGCTTGCATCCCGAATCAGAATTATTTTCCAGCTTCCATTTTGCAACGGTTGGCATGCACGGGTTGCACGGATGGCTGTTGCTCTGCGATAATTTGAAATCAGACCCAATTTATTTATTGATGCCAGTACTGCACCACATGTAATGACTGTGCGTTGCCATATGTGCCAGACTGTTACTAACTCATTAGCACTGATAATTATTTGTATTAATGGACTGTGTTTTATTTTTAATGGATGACAGATGAGATGGATGTCTTTACATGAAGTAGACACCCGCAATACTGAACGGAAGATGGGAGAATGTTGGGGGGGGTGGGGCGAGAGCAAGCAGATGTGCTCAACCGCTGCACATGTGCTTTCCCGTTTCTATTTATTTAGTGGAGTTTATACATTTTAGCACATTGCCATGGGCTCTACTTGCTGTTTGTATGCGTGCACATTACAAGTATGTAACTTTCTCTTTTTATCTGAATGTATCTTAAGACAACCATTAGATTAATCATTTGAATAGATGGTAAACGTGAGAAGGACCTTTTCATCGAACTGGAGACCACAATACCATTTGAGGAACCAAAAAAAAAAATGACCATATGATTCAATTGGAATGTACTGTTTAAATAGAAGATTAGCCAACACCAGAAAAGTAAGTCGTGAAAAGAAAAAAAAAGACAGTTATATTTTCTGTTCACAATTGAACATCAGTGAAACCAATAAAGGTTCTGTTGTGGATAATGCACATTTCCTGCCTTTCTTTCCAAGTATATGTCAGCAAAGACCTGTTTCCTCAGTTGTCAGTGGGAATGTAAGAGATTCCAGATAACCTTTGATTTGAGAAACAGAACAGAACGCATTGGGCAGTCTCCTCTAGCCTTAGTGTTTGGTGTAGTGGTTAAGTGGACTCTAATCTGGGAGAACCGGGTTTGATTCCCCACTCCTCCACTTGCACCTGGCTGGATGACCTTAGGCAAGCCATAGTTCTGATAACAGCTGTTCTTGAAAAAGAGCCGTTTCTGTCAGAGCTCTCTCAGCCCCACGTACCTCACAGGGTGTCTGTTGTGGGGAGGGGAAGGGAAAGGAGTTTGTAAGCCGCTCTGAGACTCCCTTGGGTAGTGAAGGACAGGGTATAAATCCAATCTCCTCCTCCTTCCCACTTTTTAATCGTCCTCTTGTGGTTTTCTGACATCGTTCCAGATGCTGCTTTTGATCTATAACCTAACAATGAAACAAAAGTCTGTTGAGAGATCTTCCTTTATCTGTTTTTGTACTTAGATCCTGTTCTTACATGGGGCTCTAAGTAGTACCCATCCAAGGGATGGATTCGATCCACACATGCTTAGCATTAGTGATGCTTCCAGACCATTTGGGGATTTCTTTTGCCTTCCTCCCTAAGGTAGTCTCACGGTTCTACGTGAGTAGTCTCAAGGTTCTACATTACCCTCCCAATATTCTTTTCCTTCGCCAGTATCCTCATCTGAAAGAATACTGCCTACACTAGATGTCAGGAGTACTCTCCGATTTTATTTTAAATGCACACAAGTTTTCAGGATAGATAGGAAATCTATTCATATATTTCAGAGGGTGCAATAGAGGTAAATATGTCTCTGCACAGGCGATATCAATGGGTTGTGTCAGCACACTCCACCAGGGCTCAGGCCTCTTCAGCAGCCTTCTCAGTTGGTCTGCTTCTCAAGAACGTGTGCAAGGCAGCAACGTGGTCAACGCCCTCGACATTTGTGAAGCATTATTCAATGGGCATCGATTCCAAAAGTGAGGCAGCTGTGGGGAAAGCGCTGCTGCAATCCATATTCCACTGAATCAGCCCACACCCTCCTCCTTCGTAGGTGATCTTGCTAGGTAGGTGACCGCCCTGAGCCCGCTGAGCCACCCTGAGCCCGCTTGCGGGGAGGGTGGGTTATAAATGCAACAAATAAATACTCTCGCAGGTGGGACTGCACGGAAACCACGATGATGAAAACAGGGTTGCACTTACCTGTAACTCTTGTTCATTGAATGGCCTTCTGTACAGCCACACATTCCTCTCTCCTCTCCCTGCTGTGGGCTGCTCAGATTTATTTTGCTTTTGCTTCTGGTGGCAACTGGAGAATTGAGGGAAGAGTGCACGCCCCTCCCACATCATGTGACTTTGAGCGGGAAAATATACACTGAGTGGTGATGGGAGGGGGTAGCACTCTTGGGAGTCTAGAAGGTTCTTTAAAGAAGCTTGCTAGCTCCTCTCTGTGGAATCGCAGTCCCATGTGTGCCTGCACAGAAGACCACGCAATGGACAAAAGTTACAGGTAAATCTGAGTCCAATGTTTCCTCTAAGCTATGTAGTCTTGTGAACAAAACTCTGCTTTGTGAACTACTGGCTTTAAAGTTGTGAGCAAGCAATTTGGCTGCTGCATAAATTAGTTTGCTCTGGAGCCATCCTTCCTGAGCTAAGATAAAAATGTGTGAAGCGGAGGCTAAAAACCTGTGAGCTAGCTCACACTAACTCAGCTTAGAGGGAACACTGGATGCAACCCTGTTTTTTACTTTGTCCATTGTCCTACCTTCAGTTTGCCAGAAGAGGGCACTCGGAGACCTGTGTAAATTAGACAGACTTCGCAATCTTCTCTCAAAGCAGAGATATCCTTTATGTTTTGCAGTAGACCACTACAGTTTGTAACTCTCAAGTGGAACACAGCCCACCAAGCATATATGATGTTCCCTCCTATTTTTATTGCATGGCTGGGACTGCAAAAGCAGGGCTGTCAAACATCGTGTGTGTGCGTGAAAGGCATTTTTGGCTTAGTAGGTCACAAGACCTACAGTCATGGGATGGAACCATTGCATGTTTGGTTGCTGCATGTAGTTTCCAAAAATCTATTCCTTTCCTGACATTGGTAGCAAGATGATACTGTAGTCTGAGGCTATCATACTTTGGTCACATTATGAGAAGATGAGAGTCACTGGAAAAGACAATAATGCTAGGAAAAGTTGAAGGCAGCAGGAAAAGAGGAAGACCCAAGATGGATTGACTGTATGAAGGAAGCCATGGCCCTCAGTTTGCAAGACCTCAGCAAGGGCGTTGATTCATAGAGTCGCCATAGGTCAGAAGTGACTTGACAACATTTCACACACACACAAGACCCCAGAGTGCTTTTGGGCATCAAAACACATTCTGCTTTTGCAACATCACTGGAGCCACTGTAGAGTGGGCTCTGACAAGGGGGGACATTTCTCATCACCATTTAGAATCAAGGTTGTGTCAACTACGGTGTTAGGCTTCCCAATACATGACATAAAAGGGGCAAGCAGAGCCAGTTTGGTGTAGTGGTTAAGTGTGCGGACTCTAATCTGGGAGAACCGGGTTTGATTCCCCACTCCTCCACTTGCACCTGCTGATGTGACCTTGGGTCAGTCGCAAGCTCTGGCACAGCTGTCCTTGAAAAAGGGCAGTTTGTGTCAGAGTTCTCTCAGCCCCACCCACCTCACAGGGTGTCTGTTGTGGGGAGGGGGAGGGAAAGGAGTTTGTAAGCCGCTCTGAGACACCTTTGGGGAGGGAAGGGCGGGGTATAAATCCAATCTCTTCTTCTCTTCTAATGCTTTAAGAGAGAGAGAGAGTCTTCCTGAACAGAATCTAAGTTAGTTAGGCTGAAGTACACTGTATGTCCCCTTATGCCCAGATTAGATGTTCTTTGACTGGCATTCACAACTGTGTGATCCATGCGGAGTCACAGCAACAAACACAGCTCACAAATAACATACATAAATAAATATTTGTTTTACTCACAGCCCTACCTTCTGAAGGTGTGAACTGAAGAGAAAAATGAAATGGGTCTATGGTCACAGCAGCATTTTCTGGGCAACCTCCTCCCTCAGCGACCATCTCAGCAGTCCAAGCATGAGCCCACAGCTTAATAGTTCAGCTGGTGGTGGAAAGTGCCGCAGCTGACTTAGGGCGACCGCATGGGATTTTCAAGGCAAGAGACGTTCGAAGGTGGCTTGCCACTGCCTGCCACTGCATCACAACCCTGGACTTCCTTGGTGGTCTCCCATCCAATACCCTGCTTAGTTTCTGAGGTCTGATGAGATCAAGCTAGCCTGGGCTATGCAGGTCAGGGCAGTTGGCTTAGTTACCATTTTTGGTATCAAGGTCCTGCAATGAGGCCCGCTGGAGATTATCTGGACAGGCCAGGGGAGGAGGGCTAAAGATAAGCTAGTTTCCTTCCACGGCCGGGGCAGTGAAGATTAAAGGGCAGCCCTTAGAAGATGGAGATGTGTTCCTTAGACCAGCCTTCCATGGCTCCTGGTTCCAGGGCAAGCTGGGATGGGCACCAACCTGACGCCTGTCTGGTCACCTACCCATAGCTAACGGTGACAGCTGTGTTGAGATTTGGAAAGGCTTCTCTCAGTGCAGTTGATCTGGGGCCGTGTAGAGTTATCAAGACTGCTTCAGAGCTTGTAGCAAGGTTGCTTGCCCACAGATGAAGTGATGATGTTGAGCGTGGGAGAGGATATCAAGTTAATAGCTGTATCACATTGGAGGAGGCGGAAATCAGTGTGAGGATGTACAAAGTATTTGCAATCACATTTGAACAGCGTCTGAAGAACGTTTCTGACATTAGAGGGCACTGTTCACAATGGGCAATCGAATTGCAAGCCAGACAGGTTTGTCGAGCATCTTTAGTTGTAGGTCCTTTAAATGGTACTACGATGTGGTTTTATAATATAGCGCTCAAAGATTGTTTATTGCTTCCTTCTCGACCAAGTAAGTGAAAGAGCTTCACTGGAAACATGAAGACAATTTTACATTACACGCCCTTATGTGGCTGTGGAATTCTGAAATTGTTCCTCCTCCCTCCCATATGAAACACAGTACCCGAGAGGATATCAAGTTAATAGCTGTATCACATTGGAGGAGGCGGAAATCAGTGTGAGGATGTACAAAGTATTTGCAATCACATTTGAACAGCGTCTGAAGAACATTTCTGACATTAGGGGGCACTGTTCACAATGGGCAATCGAATTGCAAGCCAGACAGGTTTGTTGAGCATCTTTAGTTATAAGTTCTTTAAATGGTTTTATAATATAGCGCCCAAAGATTATTTATTGCTTCCTTCTTGACCAAGCAAGTGAAAGAGCTTCACTGGAAGCATGAAGACAATTTTATGTGGCTGTGGAATTCTGAAATTGTTCCTCCTCCCTCCCATATAAAACACAGCACCCAGTTAAACCAAATTTGTCCCACATCAGCGTAATATTTGCTGTTAAAAGCCTGACAGCAAAGTTTTACAGGATTCTAGAAAGTATTCAGGCCTGGGCTTGGATGAGTTCCCAAATATATATGTGGTACGCTGCACAATTTTCAAAGTAGCTGTGACGTTTGAGACCTGCCCTTCCCATTCACACTTGGCTTGATTGGCACATCTACAGAGCTGTTGACACTGAACTGAAATGGTGCTGTGCTGAAGGCCATCTCTGTGGGTTTAAGCACCATGACCTTCTGAACCTTACAAGGCAGGGGTGCCATGCTAATGTCACCACTGCCAGAAGGAGGGCCAAGTAATTCCAGCTGGCTTGCTCTTTCTGGGGTTGGCAGGTTGCTGGGGGTTATGAAGGCAGCAGCTTGCAAATCAGATCACTGTCTGTCCAGCCAGGAAGA